CGATGGCCGCGCGCGCGACGCTGCAATACGCCAAGGTTTTGAACCTAAAAATCGAAGATGTGACATCACACACCAGGGGAAACCCCATCAGTGGATGCCTTGCAAATGCTCGATATGAATATTGAGAACGACTGAGAGGTCGATAGTGAGGTCGACAGCGGGACCGATCAGGAGGGCGATACGAAAGTCGATCGCGAGACCGAAACTGAAGTCGTTCAGAGGGATCGATTGTGAGATCGTTCGTGCGATCCATCGTGAGATCGGTTTTGAGATCGATAATGAGATCGATTGTGAGATCGATCGTGCAATCGATAGAGAGGCGGGTAGCGAGATCGATCGTGAGAAGAATCGATAAGGAGAGCGACCAAGAACCCGGGATGCCGGAAACCGGGGACCCCCGCACTCCGCCGAAATCGGCCCAGAACCAGCAACCAGGAACCTGGGAACCTGGAACCAGAAACCCGGGAACCCGGCGGCCCGCCGAAATCGGCCGCCAACTTTCGCCAGATCCTTCAGAATCCGCTAGGGCCCCTTCAGTGCAAACACTGATTGGGGAACTGTTGAATATACTTCTGCTGCGGGAAATGCCCATGTGCTGTGGTTGCGGTAGCAGATGCCATGGCCTTCACGTGCACTCGTCGCGCGGTCTGCTGCAATTCTCCTAATAGCGAGCGTTGGCAAGCACCGGGGGCGCTGGTTTGTCACTGCAAGCCGGGCGACCAGCGGGGTGAATGCGCGGGCTTCTTCCCCGCGCGCCTTCATGGCCTGGGTCGGAGCAAGCCCTTTCGAGCAACGAACGTGTGCTAGACCCGTCTTCCCTCTTTTCTACCCAGTCGCACCAGTAGGGCTTGCCTACATCCTCCTCCTCCCGTCCGACGTGCGTCTCCTCTTGCTGCTTCTCCCACTCCACTGCTGCCGCTCGCAAGGCGGGCGCATCTGAAGCAGGCCGATGTTCCCATTCGTCCACCCCTTGTCAACAGCTTGTAATGTCGGAACTCCCTTGGCCATGCCGCGCACGAAACTCGTCGCGGACAAATCTTAGTGCTTTGAAATCTCCCATCGCCTAGCGGGCCCAAGGCGCGCTGCCTCCCCAGGCAAAACCGTTCTCGAGCGTTTGTTTCCACACTTCTTCATCTAGGTAAGAGCCCCCGAAGACAACCGCCAGCGCGCAGCTATGTTCCCGAGGGCGCAATGCCCAGTGTCGGCAGTTCAGTCCCTGGGCTCCAAGCGCCACGGCGCGCATCTGAATCTCAAAATTCTTCTTGCAGTTAACCCGCGCAATAACATGCCCAGCTTAGCGCCCAGAATGTTGGCGAGGCGCTCGGGCAGGACAAATGCCGCCAGCCCGCTCAGCGCCGCCCCCGTCGCGAAGGCCACGCAAATTATTGCGCCAGAGAACGGCCCCAAAAAGTGGACGGTCTGGAAATTAACGATATGGATATTAAAATCGATTGAGAGATCGGTAGTCAGATTGATCGTGGGATCGGTAAGGAAGACGATTCACAAATCGAGCCGCGCGTGCAGGGCCTCGACCCCGCCTGCTGCCGCCGTCGGTGGGTGCAGCGCGATGCGAGGCTGGCCCCTTCCGGGCGGCTGCGACGGGCCCGGGCCCGACGCCCGCCGCTCGGGGCAGCCTCGCGCCACGCCTGCGCGCAGCAGACAGGGTGGAGGGCGGGAGAAGGAACGCGCGCCAGGGTGGCGCCCGCCGCGCGCGCGCTCGCGCGCGCGGCGCCTTTTCAATTTACAATACGCCTGCGAAGCGAGCGCCACGGGGGGCCAGCGCAGCCTTTCCCCGCGGCGCGCTGTGCCTGAGACAATGGTACCTGCGAAACGCGTGCGCCGCGGGGGTGCAGCGACGACCCCCCCCGCGGCGGCCCCTCCCTGCCGCGCGACGGCGCGATGACCCGCGCCTGCGCAACGAGGCCACGGTCGCGTCGCACTGACGCGCGCGCGACCTTCGCGCAAGCATGGCCGATTTGTGCCCGCGTGCAACGGTGGGCCTCCGCGTCTACGAGCCTCGATGCACCGCTGTGCGCCTACCACAAATCGGACCGCGCGTGCAGGGCCTCGACCCCGCCTGCTGCCGCCGTCGGTGGGTGCAGCGCGGTGCGAGGCTGGCCCCTTCCGGGCGGCTGCGACGGGCCCAGGCCCGACGCCCGCCGCTTGGGGCAGCCTCGCGCCACGCCTGCGTGCAGGACCCAATGCCACACGGCACGCAGGCGACACGGGCAGGCAACGCGCGCACACCCGCTGCCGATCGCGCGGGGGCAGAGCACGTTCGCCGGCGCGCGCGCACACCCACGCCCAGGACCGAGCGTGGCGGCGCTGGCCGCCGGCGCCTAACCGGCACCGTTGTTTGAATCAGACTCGAGCATATGCGCCTGGCGCGTGCAGAGCGCCGTGGCGCGGGCGGCGGTCACGTGGCTCCGCCTCCACGACCGCGTCCCTCTCCAGATCGTCGCGGTCGAGATACGCCATGAAGGCGCAGGGCCGCCACTCTCCAGCCGCGAGGATCTCGGCGAGCGTCGCGCCCGCCTCCTGCAGGTCCTTAGCGTGGCCCCTGCGGAGGTCGCGCAGCCGAAACAAGCCTGCTTCCTGGACACCGAGGGCTGCGAGCATCTCGCGCAGGGTACGCAACGCGGCGGCCGCCGAGATGCCCTCAAAAAGCCCGCAGCCCGGCGCGCGCCGCGCCAACCAGGGGCCCAGGGCATGCACGGGGCACGTGGCGCGGCACGATGCGCACCAGCACCTCCGCGTCAAGCGACTGCCTTGTGACTTGTTCTTCCGCCGACGCAGCAGCAGCGTGAGCTCCGCTGCGCCTAGCACGAGCGCCGCTTGAAAGGACGGCGCGTCGCCGGCGTCGTCCACGCGCACGGCCGGCAACGCCTCGCTGGGGACCCTCAGCAGAAACGTATAGGCGAGAAGGAAAAGCATCGAGGCGTGGAGCCACTCGGGGCGGCGCGCGCCCAAGCCGACAAGCGAGGCGACTGCGCACTTCCGGATGAATAAGCGCGGACGCGGAATCCAATCAACCCGCGCCCGAACGGCGGCGCGCGCACGCCTGACCTCAGGGCTGTCGAATACGGCGACGCAGGCCCCTGCCAGGAGACACCCGACTCTGACGTAGCCGCAATAGTTCGCGCATGTCGCGCCGCAGCGAAATAAAGCGCCCCAGGCGACTAAGTCCGCGCTGGCTGGCGGCAGCTGCACGCACGGGTATTGCAACACCCTGACGCAGTAAGCTGCCCAGCACTTGAGGCCGCTTCTCACGCTCGGGAGCGACCGCGCGCATGGCTGCAGCATGGCGCGAGCGCGTTCGACCTCTCGCCAACGGGCCGCGTCTGCAGGACCGCGGAGGCGCGCGGCGGTCTCTGCGAGCGCCGCCCAGGGCCCGCACGCCACGGGCGGCGCGACCGGCGCGGCCAGGCGGTCGATGATACCGGGGGTCGGCGCCTCGCGAGCCACGATACGCGGGAGACTTGCGAATGCGCGGGGCAAACGACGCGCGCCTGCGGCGGCGGAGAAAAACATGGAACAACGGGCGCCGCGCTTGCTGCTGGCGACCGGCTGCGGCCGGCCGCGCGCCCGCCAGCTGCCGCGCCTGCGCAGCGAATGCGGCTGCGGGGCCCGCGCAGTAAGAGGGGCAAGCAGAGTCCCTGCGCGCAGCCCCACCTCGGCGCGCCGCCAGCTTCGCAGCCCTGAATAATTCATGCAAGACCTCGACATTGACCTGCGCGGTGACTGTCCACCCTTCCAGGTCTGCGGTGTCCGCGCTGACGAGTTCGCAAGCACGCACAACGCCGTTTCCGGCCAAGAAATCAGCCGCCCAGGCAACGGCCGTCCTGGCCGCCGACGGGCGCAGAGAAAATAATTCAGCGAAGAGTGACATCGAGTGCCGCGCGGCGCGTCAGAAGATGCGAGTGTCGCGCCCGATGCACTGGCCGCGCGCTCTCCGCTTGCGAGATGACGCGAAGACTAGAAGTGACAGGAGCGGCGGCGCATCGAGCGCCTCACCGCGGCGCGGGAAGCGGAACCGCGACGCCCCTGTCACGCAAGATGGCCCCCAAGCGCTTCATGGCGCGCAAAGTTAGCCGAAGAGATGCGCCAAGGACAGCGCGCTCCAGGCGTCCGCGCGCCAGAAGGCTTCGTCGAGCCGCGGGCGCGTGCGCACGGCTCCGATGCGTAGTAGGAGCCGTCATCCCCCCTGCGGTACGCTACAATTGCGGCCGGCCAGCAGCGCGGCGTGGGCGCTCGCGGGCTTGCCGCGAGGGCAGACCGGTGAGATTCTCATCCGTGGGCACGCGAAACACGGCGAGATCGACGTCGAGCTCGACGGCGCGCTTCCACATGGAGTGGACGATGCAAGAGTGGTCAAAAGCCTTCGCCGCGCCCTTACGGAGGCAGGCCTCCGCGCCGGTGTTGTCACTGTAGACATGCAAATCGCAGCCCTGCAATGCCCCTGAGCGAACGGCGACAGGAGCCGGTTTGGAGCGCGGGGCGGTCAAACGCGCGCGAATGCAGCGCCTGCAAAGGTGCACGTGCCCAGCGCGATGGACAGGGGCTCCAGCCCCTGAATTTGGTTGTCCCGGCGACGCTCGAACGCCGTCACCAAGGACGCCGGCACAAGCATGGAAGTGAACTGGATGCCCGAGGCAGTGACGAGCACCGCGGCCACGCAAGGTGGCTGCCCCGACGCGTCCGCGAACAGGGTCGCGCGGGGCCGCGCCTTGTCGGCCCATGGCCGCGCCTGACACAGGTCCAGGGCCAGGACCTCGCGCCACCACTCCAGGGCTAGCACCAGCGGCTCATGCGCCTTCGATGTCCTTCGATACGATTGCGCGTACATCGGCCTCCAGCTCCTCCCCGGCGATTGCCAGGAGCTGCTCGCAGCGTTCGCGCAACTGCCCCGCGAGCCTGGTCAGCCATGTGGTCTGATCGCCCCGCCCCGGCGACCTTCCATGCGCCCCCGCTAATTCCCCCTAGCCCACTTTTTTTAATTTTCATTTCGCGCTCCTGCAGCGGTCGCGGGCCTCCGCGCCAGCGCGGGCTACGTCGGCGCGCGACCCCCGGCCGCTGCGGCTCAGCGTTGCTGCCCTTGGCGGGGGCGCGCCGCGCTGAGCCTTCCTGCCGACGAAGTGAGGGGCGGTCTTTCACGCCCCATCCTTCCTCTGCAGGTCTCGGGCGGCAAAGCTCGGCCCCATCCCACAACAATCAGCTGCGGGGCGACGCCGCGAAGGTGAGACTCGGCCGCTCTGAAGCCTCGCAACCCAGCGGCAACGGCGGCGCCCGCAAAGGGCCCCCCCCTTTCCCGCTAGGCACCGAGGCTCAGAAGAGAGAAAGAGAGAGAGAGAGAGAGAGAGAGAGAGAGAGAGAGAAAAAAAAAAAAAAAAAAAAAAAAAAAAAAAAAAAAAAAAAAGGGGGGGCAAACAAAAAAAAAACGAGCAACGAGCAACGGGCAGGCACACAAGTGCTTTGAGACGTGTTCGGGCCCTTTAGCTGTCACTGGAAGTAGACGAGGAGGACGAGGAAGAGCAGGGAGAAGAAGAACGGCGCGGAGCAGCCCGCACAATGGATCGGCCCACGAACGAGACGCGCTTCACGCGCTCACTGGCGCCACCGCCCTCGCAGAACAAAAGTTGCATGAAAAGGTCACTGCCTACAGGCCGAGGCTGGTGGTCAGGCCCCAGAGGAAGATCTCTTGCCGCTGCACCGCAAGCGCTGGGCACACCGCCAATGCATGACGCAAGGGCGCGTTACGAAGCCCACATGCCCTGCATCTCTCAAGGGTGCATGGGTGGTCATCGCCCCCCAACACAGAGAGCGGCCAAGCGCCAGTCATACGCGCCACAGCCCACAATTGAAAGTGTTTCCAAATGTGTGGCCCAGACTCCCGCGCGAGGAGGGCAGGGTCAGGGAGGGAGGGCCCAGGGCACAGGTCGCAAAAAGAACGGTTAAAGGCTTCGAACTTCCGAGACGCGGCCGCGACAAAAGCAGCCCGGTCGTACTGGAGCAAGGCCGGGCGCACGCAACCTAGCCGGTACTCCCTCAGCACCTCCTTCCGGGCAGCGCGATCCCTCCGCGCAGCCTCGATCCTCTCAGGCGGAAACATGGCGTGGCATAGCAGGTCAGCAGGCGGGGAGGGCAGGCGGCCCAGAAGCCGAAGCGCCGCGGTCTCCCATGTCGGGGTGCCCATATCCTTCGCCGCGCGAAGGACTACGGCCGCTGGGTGATCGCAGGGCAGCACCTGCAGGCGCGCCCTCGCCATGATTACCCTCTCCAAAAAACGCGTGCCGAGCCGCATTGGCCACCCGCACTGCGCGACTACAACAGCATGCTTGATGGGAGGGCCTCTTTGGCAGCCCAACAGACGTCGACCCCAGTTCACTTGGAGCCTATTGAGGGCGGCCTCCGCCCCTGGCGTGCCCGCTAAAAGCGGGGCAGCGCATAGCACCACGGATTCCACGCGCGAGGGGGCCTGGGCGGCTGCGACAGGGATAGAGAACCCCCCGCTTTGCGCAGCGTGGAGCAATTTGCCGAAACAGTCATTCCCCATCGCCGCAACCTCACGGAGCAGGGGAAGAAAGGAAAGATCCCCGTCAACCAGGACACCGAGCAGGCGCTTCACAAGCACTACGGGGCAGCCGGCGTGCGACGGGGGTGGCGCCCCAAAGATCGGAAGCACGCAAGTCTTCCCAACCCCATAATTAAACTGAGACTTCATCCTCCTGGCGCACCGCGTGCATGCGGAGGACGCCTCTTCGGACAACACAGCGCGAACGGCCCCTGCTGACGGACAAGGCGTCGTGATGTCGTCGACGAACTGGACAGGAGGGAGGTGATGCGACCCTGTGGCCTCCACCAGCGCCACTCTGTCCGGGAGTGCTGGTATTGACCGTAACGCGCGGGAAAGAAAGGCCTCAGCACGTGGCCAGGGGGCGCCTTCTTGCGCAGCGATGCAGGCCGCCTGCGACACTGCCGAGGCAGACAGAGAGAAATCCCGAGAAGGCATTGCAACATCAACTGATGCACGCACCGCGTCATTGGCATCACGCAAGGCCAAACGAGCCAAGAGAGGGATGCGAGAAGCGCACCCCCCAGGCATGGCCTGTTCGATCTCCACAGGGAGAGCGCGCAGCTGCGCATTGAAGGCGTGGACCGAAAAGCGTCGCCCTTGCGCGGTGCCGCAACCTAGAGCGAAAAAAGGCGTGAGCAAATCGCGGAGCCCTACCACCTGATGATCTTGCGCAAAGACATCGTCAAGCATCAGCCAATCGGCTCCCCGAACACCCGCGGCGAAGACGCCCAAGAGCATCCCGCCTATGGAAGCGACGTCGAACGCCCATTTCTCGTCCGCGATCGCCCACCAGGTTAGAAGGTCCTGCGCTGCTCTGAGTTGGGCGTTCATGACGAGCGCAATTACCAAAGACACGGCGTCGCCGACGCCTCCCTGCTGGGCTGGACCACAGTAAGCCTCTATGCAGTGGGAGTTGCGCGCCAGCCAGGCCGCGTCTTGAACCGACGCCATGTCGCTGGCAAATGAAACTGGACGCAGGGCAGAGAGCCGACGCACTACCGCTGGCCCCGATTTGCGGATCGGGGAAAACTGCCTCAACGACCAAAGACGCGAGGTAACGCACAAGGCGCGCGCCAGGTTCAACAGGGCGCGCGTGAAACGGAAACCCTCCTCAACCTTGGCACGCGCCGCCGCGTTGCACATGCGCGCGGTTCGCTTGCCTGGCTTGAGCAGCGCAAGGGCCGCCTCGACTTCCTCTTCCGAGTACGGCTGCTCTGGCCCCGCTTGGCCGGAGCTCGCGCCAGCACGACGGATGGCAGCGACATGGCTTGACATGCGCGTGCGTTCGGCTGGGTCCTGCGGGAAGTCGTTCTCGGCGCGCGAGCAAAGGTCCCTACGGATGGCGTCGAGCACCTCATCTGTCGAGAGAGCCGCGCCAGAAGACTCGTCCACTAGCTGCATGTCGAACCGGGCTGAAGATTTGAAAACGCCCGTGAGGAAGCGTTCCGCCGCGCCTGCGTTCGTGTCCCTCAAGGATAAATACCGGTGGGCCGCTTTGCGCCGCTCCTGCCACGCAGCAGTCTCCACAGCGGACTTGTACGCCTCGTGCGTCGGGAAAGACGCGGGACTCAAAGGAGCTCGTGGATGCGCGCGCCCCTCGCGAGTACCAACGCGGCTCACCTTCGCGGCCCCGGCAGCGCGACCTACTAAGACGTAAGTGGCGTCCCTCGCCCAAGCCGCGTTGTTGAGCACAGCTCGGCGCTGCAGACGAGTGGCGCTACCCCCAAACCAGGGCGGCCTAAGCCGCGTGCTTCTGGCGGCCTGCTCCACAGCGTCCGCTAGCGCGCCCAGCAGATCCGAAATACTTTCGAGCGCGGACGCCCACTCGTCCCCAGACGTCCAGGACACCCGCCCAAAGCCCGCAGACCGCGAAAGGGCCGGGGAGAAGGGAACGTCGACCTGGACAAGCTTGTGGTCCGATAGGCCCACGAACTCATCAAAGACAGACACAGGAAGGTTAGCTTCGGCAGGCCCCAAGAACAGATCAATCGTCGTGCCAGAAACGTGAGTGGGCAAAGGGGGGTTGTAAGCGCGGAGCCCTGCGTCATCGAGCCACGCCTGGATCTCGCGATCTGGGGCTCTCTGTCGACAATGGGGGCAGAGGCACCCAACGGCGTGGGAAGCGCAGTGCGACAAGTGGAGGTTCGCATCGCCCCCGATCAGCAGGCGAGCAGCAGGAAAGCGACGTCGCAACAGCCGCACATGGGCAACGATGGGCGCCCAAGTGCCCCGGTCCCCGCCGTGGACAGGGTACATTGCGCAGAGGACGGCGCTAGGGGTGGTCTCATCGCCTGCGCCCCACAGCTCAAACCACTGTTCGCGAGTGCTGGAGATTTCGGGGAGTGGCCGGAAAGCATGCTCCAGTTCAGGGCGCAGAAACAAGCCGACGGAGTCCCAGCCAGAGGACGTGGGCCCTTCCCACGGAAAAGGGAAGCCAGGTGGCAAAGAGGCGCCGGCTGGAAAACGCGCGCCTGGAAGAATGCACGCGTCGACATCCCGCTCTACCAGCGCGTGCGCGACGGCTTCAAGCCGCCACTCGAGCAACAGATCCGAACCTAGTTGCAGGAAGCCCGTGCGTCCCGGGTCGAGGATTGCCAAGCGCGGGCTGGATTTCGTGGAGGAGCCTGGCCGACGCCCATACTCACCTGCTCCGACAACTGACGGGTGCAAGCCGCCTACGTACGGGGAGACAACTGGCGATCCAGTCGCCGGACTCGCCTCCGGCGTTGGGACAATCTCCCCGCGTAGAAACTGCTCGAGCTCTTCGGCGATTGCCCGCAACAGAGACGTTTCAGCGCCCGCTTGCCGAGCGACCTCAAGCGGGCGTGGCGGCGCTAGCTCTAGTCAAGCCAATGCATCTAACAGCGCGGCCGCCTGCTCACAACGTCGGCCCCCCACCGCCGCCCAACGGATAACTTTATCTCGCAGCGGCGCGAGCACCCGACCAACCTGACGCCGCCGAGCAGCCCGCGGGTCCGCCTCCATTGGGTCCGCGGGCGAGGGCGCCGGCGGGGGCGACCGACGGGGCCTGCTCGCTGGGCCCGCTCGCCCGAGCTTGGTGGCAGCACGCGGCGGCAGAGGGCGCGAGAACGGAGAGGGCGACCGAAGGAGAGACAAAGCAAGACCGCCGGCGTCGCACGGGCATGCGTGAGCGTTCTGTGGCCCTGCTCCATGGATGGCTAGCGCGTGATCCAACTTGCAAGAAACGCGGGAACAAACCAAAAGACAACGAGAAGGGCGAACAAGAGACTCGACAGCAGGACCTCCTCCCAAGCGCCACCATCTTCGTGGACTCCTCCCACTGGCACAGGTTCCACCAGAAAAACAAGGAGAGAACGACAAAGTAGGGTGACAAAAAGCCAGCAACGTGCCACGAGACCAAACGACGACGACGACGACGACGACGAAGACGACGAGGGAGGCGAAGGCGACGGAAGACGACGGCAACACCGGCGAGGCAGGCCGACAGATTTGCAAGAGCGCAGCACCGTCCTGCAAAAATGGCGGCTGGCATTTTCAACCTTAGAAGGCAAGATGGCAGCAGCGCCGGCGAGGCAGGCCGACAGATTTGCAAGACCGCAGCGCCGTCCTGCAAAAATGGCGGCTGGCGCTTCCAACCTGAGTAATAGAGGGGTCACAAGCCCAGCCATCTCTTTCCAAGCGCACCGCGTGCCCCCTGCCGCCTGTCAAGGAGCCGCCGCTGACAACCGATATAGTCAGGCACTACCCTGGAGCATGGCAACGACCGCCCCTGCAGGGGCATGCGCGGAAGGCCCCGCGGCCTCCGCCCCATCCCACTGCCGACGCCGCCAGCCGCCTAGAAGGCTGCCGTCAGGTACGCACCGAGCGTCTACGCAAGCGGGGGAAAAAGGCAGGGGCAGAGAACAGGACAAGCGGGGGGGAGGCCAAAATGGCTGAGCGCGATGCGCCCCAGGACTCAACGCCTGCCGAGCAAGTCGCCCACTGACCACCGGGTAGGCCTGCGCTGGGCGCCCGGGGCCGGAGCGCGCACTGGAGCCGCAGCGGACTTAATGTCCGTTGCGTGGCCGAGGAACAGCAAAAGCTGATCTAAGCAGGCTTCAAATGCACCTCGTTTGCCCTTAACTACGATCTTACCCTGGCGCTTGTTTTGCAATTGCACCGTAAGCTTTAAAATTGGGGACGTCTTCCAGGTAACTTCCAAGCCTGGCTGGTCAAAGTCACCCGAAACGGTTGCAAAGGGCGGTGCCACGTCGGGGCCCGCGCGAGGGCCATCCAACAGCACTTCGACCCCCATTGCGCGAACTAAATCGTAGAGGTCAGACTGGCTAGGGCACCGCACTAAAAAATGAGCCTGCGTGGACACTCTGCCATCTACGCTGTCGCCTACAACGTCACGCAGGCGCTGACGCCAAGCGCCGATAGCTTCGCTGTGCTCCTCGACTGTAGTAAACTTGGCCAGGGACCTGGCGTGCACAAGTGCCCCACCTGCTGGCATGACGGGGCCCGGCGCAGGAGGGGCCCACGGCGCCGACCGAACAGCAACCGCCGACCCCCCCTGGGGCGCGGGCGCGGCAGCAGGCACAAGCTGGCGTGGAGAGCCCGCGCGCCCGGCGACACTGGCATGGTTAAAAGGTTGAGGCGCAACAGGAGCATGGCGCGCTGGCTCCACCACTGCTGACTGCGGCGGCGCCGCTCCTCCAACTGGCGGCAGGTGCTGGGGCAACGCGGCCAAGCGCTCTTTAAGGGCAGAAGTGCGAGCGAGCTTCTGGGCAACCTCAGGCGGGACACCGCGCGAGACCACGTTCGTTTCCCGATGGATCCACACTTTACCGCCAGCAGGGCTTGCAAATTCGTCCCACAGGACTGGAGTCGCTTGCAACACCTGCAACTCCGCCTTGATAGCTTGAAGTTCTAGGCGCTGCTGGGAAGCGTGCTGCTGGGAAGGGCCCCCTGGCGCTGACAAGCCCACTGCGGGGGGCGCGGGGTCTGGGTAAGTCCACTGCTTCTGCCCAGAGGCGCGATGCTGATAGTACAGAGCACCAGAAAAATCGCGCCTGGACTCCCACCCGATCGGTAAAGGAGGCGGGCTCACTTGCGGAGGACCAGGTGGCGGCGGGCACGCTCCCGCAGCGGATCTAGCGGGCGACGTGCGCGCGTGAGCAGGCAGCGCCCCCTCGACCACCCCCGCACGCGGCGGGGGCGGGGGCGGCGGCGGCGGCAGCGGCGACGGCGGCGCTGCCCCATGCCAGCCATCGGGGGGAGAGTATGAGCCCAGGGAGCGGGCTGGCCTCAGGGTCGCTGGCGGGCGCTCCACGCAGGCCTTGCCGGTCGTGCCTCCGACGATGGTGAAGTCACCAGGCGGCGGGCCCAACGATCCCCCAGGCGGACTGCCTCCGTGCATAGACGGCAGCAAGGCTCCGAGCTCTGCCGACAAGCCGCGAGCCTCGCGGCCAGGGGAGCTCGACGCTCTCTCTGTAGGAGCAACCTGGACAGAGCGCGCCGAAGAAGGGGGCGATGTCCTCCGTCTCCTCCTCCTGGAGCGCGATCTGCCCCGCCTCTCGCGCCGGTAGCGCGAGTCGCTCCTTCGTCTGCCTCGCCCGCCCATGGCTCGGAGGCGCAGGGGCTGCTCTTCGCTGTTCACGGGGAGAGGCCCGGAACTGCAGCTGGAAGCCGGAGCAGGCTGCAGACGCCGTTTGAGCATCGATTGGCACGACGACACGGCACCACGACACAGCACCGCGACACGGCAAGGCGCCAAGGCACGGCACAGCACCACGACAGCACGAGAGGCGGACGAGGGGAGCCATAAACAATAACAAAAGAAAACAACAACACTCGAGACATCCTCGCAGTCAGGACAGACACGCCCAGAGCGGAACGACACGGCACCAACGGCACCCAGGCCAGCAGCACATGAAGGGCGGAGTGGACCGCGAGGTTATGAGAATAAACCACAAGGTCTGCGCACCAACAAAACAAGAGCAACATGCCATGCAACATGGGCGCGTGGAAGCAGATGGCCGTTTGCATGCAGCAGTACAACATGTCTTTTTATAAGCCACGAAGGGCGGTTGGGGCAACCCCGCTGCATCCAACTGTCAAGAGCTGACGGCCTCGCGAGCAATGACGGCGATGCAATAACCTGAAGAGAACAGGGCGCTGGGGACAGGGTGACACCTTGCCAGCAACCCAAGACGACACGAGACCAAGCGACGACAACGACAAAGAAGACGACGAGAGAAACGACGGCGACGGCAAGAAGACGACGACGTCGGCGGGGCAGGCCGACAGATTTGCAAGAGCGCAGCGCCGTCTTGCAAGAATCGCGGGTTGCACTTTTTACCTTAGAGGACGACGTGACACAAAGGCTAAGGCGGCAGCAACAAGGCACAACAAAAACCTCAAATGCAAAGTAATTCGCCTGCCCGTAGAATGGCCGTCGTCGGCCAAGCCGCCCGCCGCGCCGAGGGCGGCGCATCCAGCCGCCGCGTCGTCCCGCTCCGGATCTTCGCTCTCCGCTGCTCCAAGAAACGCGGCCCATATTCATCCTTCAAAATGCTATCGGTTCGCGGCATCTTCAAACGAAGCGGCCCGCGAAACCCACCTCGCAATGGAAAAAGCAACGGGGGGCGAACGTCGCGGGGCTTCGCTGTCAAAACTCGAATATCAGAATACGGCCTCACAACATAAATTTCTATGTCCATGACGTTAACGCCGTGGGGCTCTTGGGCGAGCCGGCCCTGATGGAGGGCCGCTTTCGCTGCCCCCCTAAGGCCGCGCGGCTCAGCCCCCCCTTCCGCGGCAAGAGAGCCCCGCATGGCTGCGCACTCGCTCCATGGAAGTGGGTCGCGAAGGTAAACTCGAAACTCATGGGCGTTTAAAGATGCAGTCTTATATCCAAGCTGACCGAGATGACGCGTAAGAGGGGCCCAGATCGTCGCCCAGTCCACCCTCTCTGCTAGGAACACAGCCAAGTCAATATCATAGTCCCATGCCGCCATCGCCTGGTCACGCACAGCGCCTAGGAAACTACCCCACATGAGCGCGCACTCGCCCAGGGTACCATCAGGAATAACCCCATTGCAATCACCCCGGCCCTCCCCCATTCGCCGATTCAAAAAACGAACGACATCAGCACATGCCTGGTATAACCAATTCACAACAACAGCCGGGCTCAAAGGAATGCCCTCCTGAACGGTCGAACTGCCTAGGGCCCCTCCTTGCTCGTTTGTCCTGCGGCGCGTCTGAGCAACTGTCATCCCGGATAAAACTGGCTGGCGCCACGGAGAGGTAGCTGATGACGCCGCTAGGGCTCGTTTCAAGTCCGACTCGGCCGAGGTATTGCGCGACCGCAACACAGACACCCATCTGGGCAATGAAGGGGTAAGGGCCCGTCCAACACTGAAAGCTGCCAAAAATTTGTCTGCCTTTGCAACTGTGGCTTTATGCATGGTGGGGGCGCCTTCCAATAACGCGGCAATACTATCAACCATGGTGCCGACAACCCTGCGCAAGCGCTTGCCCAGCGGGGTGGGCCTTAGGAGGGCGGGCGCCATACCTGTTAATGAATGCGCGCAGTTCCGTCTCCAAGGAGAGGGGCGACACATCAGCGCCGGCGGGGCGCTTGCGGAGCGACACGGCAACAACAAGGCGCGGCTCCGGGCAGACGCGGCGACATGAGCAGAGGGGGGGCAAGAAGAAGGCGACGCAACATGATAACACGAATTGCGAGCAGC